CCCCTTCCCCTGCCCCCACCCTCTCTCCGTCTAAAGTCAATACATTTTTTTTAAAAAAAAGAAAGGTCTTCTAGTCTTTTCAAGCCACCCTCTCTCGCAGATGGGAAAATAGGTCTAGAAGACACAGTGGTTTATCGAGGTGGGGCCGCGGCCGCTGGAGCCGGTCTTGCCCACACTGGTCCTGTGTGCAGACACAGTGCGGTCGATCCCTGGGCCTGAGGTGCAGGGAGCGGGAGGCTGCGGGCTCTGCACCCGAGTCCGGGAGGGAAGCTTCGGGGCTGCTCAGGAAGGGCGGCCCAGAGAGCACAGGCGGACCTCAGCGAGCCTCTCTCTCTCCTCAGGTTGGAAGGCCCCTGAGAATAGCCGACCGGCCCCTGGCGTCCACGCGTGCCCGGCACCGGTAAGTACCATCCAGTACACGCTTCCGCCGTCGAGGCCCGGTCACAGGTGCACAGGTCACCCACCTGTCCGTCCGAGTCGCAGGGACGCGGCAAGGCCACGAGGCCCCACGCTGGGACCCACAGTGCGCGAAGCAATGTGACAACCGGAAGGCGAGGCCCCACAGCGGCCGGGGAGCCGTGCTGGCCGCAGCGGCCGGGGCCGGGGTGGGCGGGTGGGCGGAACACCCGGATTCGCTCCTGTTCTGTTTCTTAGTCCAGAAAAGCGAATCGAGGAAGAACCGAAGCGAACGTCACAAAACGCATTTATTCTGTGTGTGTGGGGTGCCTGGGTGTTGCCTGTATCAACCTCTGTCGTTTTCTGGAGGTCGGAAGGTTTTTGTCGTAAGGGTGTCACGGCAGAAACTGTTTTGCTTCTTGGCCCTGGTGCCGGGGGTGCCCAGGGCCTCTCTCAGGTTCAGAGACGGGGCAGAAGGAGCCCAGAAACGCCGTCTCTCTACAGTTACAGCGAGGCGTGGCCGGTGAGACTCGGCCGGCCGGGCGGCGTGGAGAGCAGAGTCTGGGAGACCAGGCTCCGCTCCCCATTGTCCCCCGGGTGGACGTGCACAAACAGCACTTCACTGTCCCAGAGACGGCGAGTGATAGTCACAGCAGAGTAGCTGCGAGGTTCGGTGGAGGGACCGACCCCGGGGTCATGGAGCCCCTGCCTGGCCGACCTTAGCGGTTCAGAGGTCAGAGAGACACGGCGTAGCCTCGGGCCCTCAGCAGACAGCACGCTGTGTCCTTCAGCCGGCCGCCTCGTCCCAGGGCCCGGTACCCGAGACCCGTGTCAGGCAGAGCAGGCCAGAGCTGGAGCTTATGTCCCAGGGGCCGTCGGGGCCGGCCCTGTCTGTGGAGTGTGAAGGGGCCGTGTGTGCCAGACCGCTGCATCTGCCCTCGTCAAACACGCGGTGACTGTCAGGTGCCCGCCCACCTGCAGCCTTTGGCATTTGGGAATCCCGTGCACCATTCACTGGTGTGTGCGCAGTAACCCCGCCGGCTAGCCAGGGGCAGAGGACTCGGGTCTGTCTGCTCTGAATCTGAATTTGCTTCGGTTCTTCCCAAACGGGTCTGCTTTGAGGATCTCTCACAATTCCCAAAGCCCCGGGCCCAGCCCAGAGTTCAGGCCAGTGCCTGGGGGCAGGACACCGGCATCAGTACTACTTAGAGCTCCCCTCCGGTTTCGTTATCACTGTATCCGGGCACCACTGTCTACGTCTCCAGTCCTCGAAGCGTGGTCCGAGAACCAACACAGGAGCACCGGGAGTCCGCCTGGGAGACCTGGGCCAGCCCTGCTCAGGCGGTAGCCTCCGCCTTCCCCAGGGCCCCCAGGTGAGCGCAGTGCTCCTGAGCTGGGGCAGTTACTTACCGAAAACGCGCCACTCTGCTCCGAGATGAGAGGAAACACAGGCCCGCACATTGTCACTAAGGGGCTTGTTGGAAAGGCCATGGCTGTGGCTGCCCCTTGGCAGCCTGTCTCTCTCACGAAGGTAACATGACATCGCCTTTATGCCGTTTTCCAGGCTTCCTGACGGCCGTATTTCTCGGTGATGACTGTCAAGTCCCTTGTTGCTGCGCGGACTTGACTTCGAAAGGCTCCAGAGAAACTGCCCCAAACCCCCGTCCGTCCATTTCGCTCGCACGGCAGACGGCACCAGCCACGGCTTCCTGAGCACGGCACACTGTGCGCGAGGTCGGGGTTGGGGCGGGGGCTGAAAACCCACCTGTGTGCGGGAGGCGTCCGGTTTGGGCAGGAGGCCAGCGCAGACACCGTACGGCTGTAGGGCGGACCAGAATGAGTCACAGGAGGAGGGCGCTGAGGTCAAGTGCCCCGCGTCAGAGACGGGAGAGGTCACTTCCCGCTGCCCGGTCGTTAGGAGGGGCTGGGGCGCAGGGAAGCTGACTGTCCCCGAGGGGCTGCCCCCCCCCCCCCGTGTGATTGTGAAGGTCAGCAGTGCAGCCTGGGGGAGGCGGGAGGGGACCTGTGTGCCTCAGGGAAACCGTAGGTTGAAGGACCGAACTTTGCAGAGGCCTCGAGGACACCAGGAAACACAGACTCAAGGGCTGCCAAGGCTCTCTTTAATTTTTCCTTTAGGAAACCTTTTTTTATTTCTTCATTTTAGAGAGGGGAAGGGAGAGAGAAACATTATCTGCTGTTCCACTCACCAATACATGCATCGGTTGATTCTTGTATGTGCCCCGACCGGGGATCGAACCTACAACCTTGGCGTATTGGCACAACGCTCTAACCACCTGAGCTGCCCGGCCACAGGGCTCTCTCTAATTTTTCCTGATGTCTGTTCCATCCTCTCTTTCGTGAAACTGACTTCCTCAACCTGGTAGAAACAAGACAGCAAAAATACCTGGTGTCTATCGACATCCTACACCTCCCAACACCTGAGAGTGAATTCTCGAAGATCTGGTGCCTGCTTCAGTATAACTGCCGGGGGGGGCGGGGGGATGCGGAGCAAGGGAGAGTGGAAAGGAGATCGGACTCGAACTGGTCATTTTTTGAAGCGTGGGGGCTCCGTAGGCGGTTGTGTCTGCTTTTGTCCGTGTCGGAAATCTATAAATTAAAGAAAAAAACTACCCCAGAACAAGTTACACCCGCCTGTCATGGGTTTCGGTCTGGGTCACGCAACAGGGACTGGGTGTGTGTGATGGGAGAACTTGGCAAGGACCTCACGACCGGGACAGTGGGGTGGGAAGGAAACGCTCAGTTTAGGAATAAAGAGGGGGCCTGAGTGGCCATTCCATGATCCCAGCCGCCTCCTCTCTCCTGGGCTCCAGCCCCGAGTTGGGGGCGACCGTCACTCCGTCCCCACAGGATGTCCCACGGGCCACTCGAAGTCGGCACGTTCAGAACCCAACTCCCGATTTTCTGCTTGTGCGGAGTGTTTCTCCCCCAGTCGGTCACTCCCAACAGAAATTCCCAAGTCGTCTGGCCGGACCCTGCTGCAGAGCAGGTCCCGCTTCGCCGTCTTGTTTGAAGTCATTTCCGCCTCCCTCCCGCCAGCCCTCCTTCCAGCTCACGGCCCGACTCCGCTGCTCCAGGGCCACACGGCCTCCCCCCACGAGCTCCTTCTACGACACCAATGCTGTCCAGTCGCCGGGGGCTGTCTTGTCCTGACAGACTGTTCACGGTCCGGTCTCTACGCTGCTCCTAAAGCTTCTGGCTGTTCATGCGTCTGTTCTGTAGTGCTGCACACACGCGGTTTCTGTGCCAATACTTGGTCCCGGCTTTCTGAGGCTGCGCTCAGACCCCGCCCCCTGGTTTAAGGCCTCCGACTTCTCCAGTCGGAGAAGCTCTCTCCTGGGGGAAGGGTGTTTCGGATGCCACCCCCTGAAATCCGGTTTAGGCCGCGTAGCCCCTCTGCTCACTGTGCTGCGTTACAATGCGTTACACGGCACAGACCCGGCTCTCTCATTTCACGGGGGACCCAAACTCCGGTCAAACCACCTCGGCTCCGTGGGAGCTGATCATGAAGACTAGACTTGGATGTGATCAGCTCCCACGGAAGGGAACCCTCTCAAGACACCACCCGTTTTATTTCTGGAGAGGGTCAGGTCCTCAGACGGACCCTCGAGTCCTGTTCTCTGTGGCTCCCGCCCGTTCACCCACATTCCTTCCCTTCCTGAGCCTCCTGAAGGGCCTTCAGGCCTGGGAAGCTAGCTCTCCTGTCCGCCCCACCGGACACCGAGCACGAGGATTGCCTGGGAAGGCGGGGTCGGGCGGCCGAGCCTCTGCGCCTGCCAAGGCCTGTCTCCGGCTCGGGATGCTGCTCCTGACTCTGTGCAACGCCCAGGTGTGGTCGGGTCGGGGCCGGGCCAGGTGGGGCATGAGTAAGGAGGATCGGGAGTGAGTTGAGGACACACTCCACATTGTGTGCCGTGGCCTGGTTTCCCTGCAGAGGGGACGCCCGCTCCAAGTCCTTCCCGTCCAGTCGTATCGTCTCCACACTGTCATCTGGGGCCTCTTGTTCCTTGAACACCTTGGCATCAAAAGTGAATTTGTTCCGACTTCGCTCTGTACATTCTCCAAATTTGTGGATTTATTTTGTTTTACTGTATTTTATTATTTTATTTTATTTAGAAAGAGGAAGGAGAGAGAGAAACATTGATTTGTTGTTCCACTTATTGATGCATTACTAATTGAGTCTTATACCTGCCCTGACCAGGGATTGAACACGCAGCCTTGGTTGTATTGGGTCGATGCTGTGGACACACACACACACACACACACACACACACACACACACACTTTTTTATTCAAGATTTTAATTATTTTTAGAGAGAGGGGAAGGGAGGAAGAGAGGGAAACATCAGTATGCAAGAGATACATCAATTGGTTGCCTCTTGCACGCCCCCTCCTGGGGACCTGGCCTGCAACCCAGACATGTGCCCTGACTGGGAATCGAACTGGCAAGCTTTTTGCTTTGCAGGCAAGCACTCAGTCCACCGAGCCACACCAGCCAGGGCAGATACAGATGTATCTATATACACACACATATATTTTTGAAAGTCTCTCCTCCTTATTTGACATGGCAAAGGGCAAGGTATTTTCCACAGCCTATGTGGCTTAACATTTGATAGGTTAGTGATTCCTTTAGTAGAGATTACATAAGAGAACGAAATAAGCTCTTTGTCATTAGACTTAAATAAAAAGCACTCGAGGTATTATTATTTTCCAAATACAGGGGAGTTTCTAAGTCACCCACGATTGGGATTCTTCTGTAAGCACGAGGCACTCAGCCTCCAAGGCCAAGTGCCCCGAGGGCAGGGGGAAGGGGGCCCGGTCTTCCCAGCCGCCTCTCAGATGGTACATTATCCATATTTATAGCACTTGGCACGCTCGCAGCGCTCTTTAATCATACTGTACGTGGGCTGCCTCACTTTGCATCTTTCCACACACATGGGAAACCGGATCTTGCAGATGGAGCAGCAAGGCACCGACCAGGGGCCCGTGACCGCGCCGGGGCACTGACGTCCAAGGTCACTCGGCCGGGTGGCGGTGGTTAAGCATTCACACCGAAGCAAAGGCCTGCAGGATGAGCTTGCGCAGGTCGATGGGACACTGAGACACTGGACTACAGGCAAAAAGACGCCGTCTTTGGTTCCCAGTCTGCGGACTGGACTTGCCTAGTGAGACCCATGCTAGCAATGGCCCTTCTGTCAACCCGGAGTGTCGGCCGCCCTGAGCCAGGCTGGTGTGGGCTTTCTTCCCCTTTCCTCCCCCTTTCTCCGCTGGCTGCCCAGTGGGGCTGGGGCAGGGAAGGGAGGAGGGCTCTCTGGATCCAAGGTGCTGAGTATGGAACTCCAGCACCTCTCCCATTCCCCTACTGCTCAAGCCCCAACCTGGGCTGCAGAGATTCTGACACAGTGTATCTGTGTAGGGATGGGTCGTGTCCCCATTCGGATTCGCAGCCCCATCGAAACATCGGTCCGCTCACAGCAGACAGCTCGTTCAGTCACAGGGGGTCTGCAATGTAGTTATGCATCTACACACACATTCTGGGCCCCACCCCCCTGCCCACCGCCCCGCCCTGAGTCCATGGCAGCCTCCAGGAGGAAATGGGATCCCTATGTCATTCCACATCTGACTCACAGAAAACACGGCTGCCCCGCCCAACTCACCAGGATTTCTCTCTTTCGTTGTAAATCATCAGCCTCGTCCCCGAGTTGGCATCTGGAAGTTATCAGAAGACAGAGCTGGATTTGTTAGAAACGATTTTTGCAGATTTTTGCAGCTGCCTACGGAACCAAGGAGTGTTACATTGTGCCGTGTGTTTTTTTTTTCTCTCCGCGTTCTGATTTTGTGCTGAACATGAGGCTTAGGTTTCTCTTTCTTTGATTGGGCGAGTAATTTTTGAAGGAGAAGAACTCGTTCTGAGATTCCCCTCCTGCACGTCAGCGGCACGGGCAAGCTGGTTCCGTCAGTGTTACCCACTGCCCAGCCAAAGTTCTTCCTCTTTGGGGAACGGCCTGATGGAACCCGGGCGTGGTCCGCACGCCCCCTGGCGCTGACCCTGACCTCCGTGTCCCGGGCTCACCCCTCCACGCCCTTCCCCCTCCATCTGCCCATCCACTCAGCAGTGGACCCTGCCTGGGACCCCACACTCTCCGTGGCCTCGCCTCTCTCCTCTGTCACAGCTGACTTTGCAGGTGACATTTGGTGCTTTTATTGCCTTCCTCCTCCCCCCTCCCAGAGCTCCAGTTCCTTCTCACCGTGTCCTTCCCTTGCCTGCAAAACACGACGTCACCTCTAGCTTATAAAAGCAACGGCACTCCCTAAAAACGAAATATAGTCGAATTTCTCTGTTATTCATCGGATTTCTCTAAACCGTGTCCTGCACCCAGGCAGGGAGCTGAATAGCATCCCTACTGACTGGAGGTCTCAGCTCTGTCATCTGAGAAATACTTCCACACAGCGAGGGTGGGCTGGCCTTAGTGGTTTTGGGAGTGTGTGTTTTATATTTGGTGTTGGAAATGCCCGGGAACAATGCTATGGATGAGTCATTCATTGCACTCTTCCAATGTGCAACTATCCACAATTCTGAAAACCAAAACCAAAACCAGAATAACGACCCTGGCCAGGGAGCTCGGTTGGTCAGAGTGTCGTCCTGATACACCAAAGTTACAGGTTCGATTCCCCGGTCAGGGCACATGCAAGAATCCACCAATGCATGCATCAATAAATGGAAGAACAAAACCACCGTTTCTCTTCCCTCCTCGGTCTCTCTAAAATCAGTAAACTAAAAAAATTCTGAAACACACCCCTTAGAACTGATGCCATAGGGTGGGGCTGTTGATTATCCCCTTAAAATGAGCGTTATGAGCTCAGCATGTGAGGGGCTATTTCCTCCCACTCTGTACTTCAAAAAGTTGTCTCTGTAACCTCGTCTAACTGTTACATCCTTGCCCATTTTTTAAAACAAAGCAATTAAAAGTGACCGAAAACTGACTCTCAATCCCTTGGCAAATGCGTTCTGAGCTCCTGCTGCCGTGGGCTGGGGCACGGCGTTGGGTGCTGGGGGTGCGGGAGGAACAGGGTGGACACCGGCCCTGTCTGCACGCAGCTGACCAGACCCGGGTCCCGTGGTCAGTTTCCGGGACACCAGGCCTCAGGTTCCGAATCCATGGATAGGGGATGTGGTGAGACCAGTGAGAAATGCAGGGTTGCGGACATAATCGTCTGAGGGCGGGTGGGTCTGTGAAAACATATCGGTGGGCGGCCGGTGTGGTGCCCCCCCCTTATCTCTGCACTGCCCTCAGCATTTTGTGGCTCCCCGGGGGCGCCCCAGCTGGGCTTCACAACACTTTTGATAAGAGCCCTCGGCCTGACGAAGGTTCTGGGAAAAGTCACCAGTAAAAGCTCCTGGTTGAATGGCAGGCCCCTCGTTCTCAATGACGCCGGCACGGGCCCCCTGGAGTAGCCGGCAAGTGCCCTTTACACTATTTTCCATAGTACGCTTCTCTTTTCCTTACGTTTCAGAGGTTAGCTGAACCGAGGTCTCCTCCAAAGTCTGTCCCGCCTTCCGTCATAATTTAATATCTTTCTCCGGAGGAGGAAGCAGGACGTAGGCGTACTTGTTTCACGGTCGGTCAACAAAACATTCTTTGTCCTTGTTGAGAAATGGTTGGGAACGACGTAAGATCTCTCGCTTCTGAGTGCTGAACCAGATTCGTAATCACTGCACTAGAGGCTACAGGTAACAAAACACCCGACTATGGTGACATAAAGGGACTTCTTTTTCTTGCATAACAAGAAGCCCAGACATGGGCGGAGCGGGCCAGCTCTTGGGCAACACCAGGAAGGGTCTAGACTCCTCCTTCTTCTTCATCATCTTCAGCTACGAAATTCACCCTCATGGTTGCAAGGTGGCTGATGTGGCTCTGGGAGCAAAGCCTGTCTCCCAACTAGGAACAAAGGGAAACATTACAGACGAGTCTGGACCTGTTCATCTTTCCAGATGCTCCCCAAAGTTCTCTACTTAGAGGCCATTGGCCAGAACCATGGCATGTGGCCGTACTCACAGCGAGCACCGAGATCGGGAACTTTGACGCCCGGAACAAAGCTGAGTCAGTGAGTCAGCAAGAAGGATGGGAGAGGGCCACGCCTTACCCAGAGGACACAGAGGGACAGCTCACGCAGGGTTCTGCTGGCACTTGCGTGGCACTGCCCTGCTTCTTCCTCAAGGCCCAAACCAGCAGGAACAGGCGTGGTCACCTGTCGAAGGCACCAAATCACTCCTTAATCATTCTCTAATTTATCCACTAATTTACATCGATGGAGCCACTTCTCTCCGCCAGGCACAGGCGGGGTGGGGGGGGAGAGGGGGATAAGGGAGACAAAAAACAGACCTGATCCTTGCCTTCTTCACAGAGCGGCTGGTCCTGTGTTAAAAACCAAAACCAAACAAACAGAAAGAAGCGGACATTGAAACAGGGCAGTGCATCTTAGGTTTGTTCTACTTTCCATCTGAACAACCAGGTACAGTTTCTAAGCATGAACGTCCGCCCCTGATGGTCAGCTAAATGTGGGGCCTTCTATCCTCTACGGCTGACTCGGTGCAACCTTTGTGAAGGTGGGTGGTCGTGAGCAGCGCAGCATCGGGCCGACCAGTAGGGAGGACAAAGTTTAAGGGGTAAGGGGCCAGCGTTAAATAGTGGAGACCAATGCATGTGGCTACTTGAAACAAGTTTAGTGACCAGCCCCGGCTGCCTTAATGGGACAGAGTTATTCTGAGGTGCAGACGGCTCAGTGAGCTTGTGGAGGGGGGTGGGGGGGGCACTGTGTCTCCGCCTCCTTTGCACCCCCCCACCTCTGCTCAGTGACAGACACATGTGAGTACCTAGTAAATACATTTGCTGATCCCCAAGTCCAAGTTCGACCTTTCTCTCCTAGAATGTGAGGAGGAGCCACACAGGATTCCTTAAGGTCAAAGTGAACAGCCTGTTGTAATCCTTGACCTCCCCGTATTTTACAGGGCAGATTTATTCTTTCCGTGCGGCGCGGTCCAGTTTTCCCACCAACACACCAAGGCCCGCTGGCGCGTCACTTGGGGACGTGTTAGAGGTGAGTGGAGCCCTGGAGCCCTGGTGAGGCTGAGCCCCAGGGCAGCGCGCCACCAGGGTTGCCATGACTTAACCTGCGGCCGGAGCAGAGAAATGGGCGCACAGTGCCAGGCTCTCAATCTCCACGCCAACCCGAACCAACACTCCTTCCTGGGAATAACTGCCCTTTCCACCGGTCTCCACGCGGCCACCTCAGAGGACAGAAACGAATCATTTATGTATTTACTTATCGGTCTTAAACTGTGACACCCCACAAATCCTCTGTGGCATGGGGCAAGGTATAAATAAATGCATACCTGGTTTTTTAAAAAATATTTTTTTAATTTATTTTTAGAGTGAAAGGGAAGGAGAGAGGGAGAGAAACATCAATGTGTGGTTGTTTCTCGTGCATCCCCTGCTGGAAACTGGCCTGCAACCCAGGGATGTACCCGGACTGGGAATCGAACTGTGATCCTCTGGTTCACAGGCCCATGCTCAATCCACTGAGCTACACCATCCAGGGCTCATGGTGGTGCATACCTGGCTTTTAAAATTTTCCTCTCGGTGTTCACACTGCCATAGGCCATCTGGAATATCATACCTCTGTCAGTGGCTCAGAGGACGCCTACCCTGTCCACGAACTGCATGCTATATGAGTCTGGTCAAGGACAGGTGAAGAGGAGTGACGTGTGGGGGAAAGGCTCAGGGGCGTGTTACCCACTCTTCCATTTCAGTTCCCGAAATCCTGTTCTTATTCTGGACTAGATCGGGATGGAACACACTTGGCTACCACCGTAGGTCCCTCACAAATAGCACCCTGGACCGGGATTCTTTATGGGGAGCTGAACTTTTCTAATGTAAATGCCCGGGAAGAAGTGTTCTGACTCTTCCCCTGAGGAGATTGGAAGGTGGTGGAGGGTAGGGACCATTTCACACATCACCTTCGTGGCTTTTGCTACAGCTGCGGGCGTGAAACACGCTCTGTGAACATGTGCAGACTGCAGGAAGTGAGCTGTGTGCAGACAGACGTGCAGCAAGTTTTAGCCCTTTTTAAAAGAAAAAAGGAAACCCAACCTTGAGAGGCAAAAGATTTGCTTTTAGGGGAAACGTCATCAAGTAGGAATAACTTTTAAAAGAAACTTGAGATCTATTTAGTTGGAACAGGGCTTGCCCACTAGGTTTTTCTCTCATCACGTTTCCAGGGTCCTTCCAAAAACAGTCTAAAGGTTACGGGAGGGAAGACATGGTCTTTGAAAACCAGGTCCTCGAGGTTCTTGAGATCAGGGTGGGCGGATTCACAGATGATCGGTTCTCGAACACACACCTGCAGAAGCCGCAGCAAAAGCCCGTGCTGTTCAGCTCGTCTGTGGGGACAGGACACAGGAGGCCCAGAGAGGTGGTTCTGCCAACTGTCTTGTCTCCCGCCGGCCCTGCTGGCAGTCAGGGCAGGGCACCTCCTGTCCATTCCTGAAAGGGCATTAGGCTGCCAAACCCGGAGGGACAAGGAAGTCCCGAAGGCTCCGAGAAGTTGGCACCAGTGCGCACTGAGGTTAAGGCGCAGAGTTAGATTTGGTGGGGGAGGGAGAAGACTACGTGAAAGAGAGTGCCAAAATTACAGTGAGTTTAAGTCATTTTAAGAATGTCTCTCATGATGAAGGCCACTTCAGAATCCCGGACCAGGTACAGGTCTGGGAGAAGCCGGCCCGGCAAAGGACCCGTAGTTACTCTGGTAGAGGCGCCGTCTAGCGCACGTGGCTCTGGGAACGGCCACCGCGAGGCTGGGCCGCGAGGGGCGCCCGGGCCCTGGCGGACTCGCACCCACCCGGGGGCGGGCGCGGGCGGTGGTGCTGTCGCCGCGTCTGCAGAAACAGCCCCCTGGGCCGGACGGTACAGCCGCGGCCGTCCTGCCCCCCAGCCCTCCCCCTCCTGGGGCAGAAACTCCAGGAAGAGGCAGTTGGAAAAGCAGGTTCCCAAGGCCCTCCCAGCAGCACAGGACTCGGGTTTGGGGAAGGGGACCTCGGGCAGGGCGGCGAGGGGGGCGCTCTCCGGCCGCCAGGACACCCCTCTGCAGCGGGCGCGGTGGGCTCGGCCGGCCGCCCCGCGCGGAGCCCCGGGCCCGGGCTCCCAGGCGGGGAAGGTGCCCGCCCCGAGCGC